ACACCCAAAAGGAAAGTCTAATCAAAGATTAATGGGATCAATATAATTCTTTTTGAGTCCATGTGTATAGCTAAATGCTACATAATAAGAAGCAATGCCAGACAGGAGATACCTTCCTTTGAGTTGTTGGCCAGGGTGACCCAAGAAACTCCCAGACGGTAACCCAATATAGAACTTGGAAAATGAACAGCAGACCCCAATCTTATCTAAAGGAATGTTGGCAACTGATTGCTGCTAGATGATGAAGAGCTGATCTTCCTAAAACAAGGAACTCTAGATAGGTTGACTAGACTCAGTGGATGGACTAGTGCTGGGGAACAGCTGGGGCACTGATAACACAGTGGACAGTAACAAGGATGACAGAGTATATGGGCTCCAGTGGGGGTAGGGAAGCTACGGGAGGGTGCCATTTGGGATGCAGGTATAAAGATGAATTAAATTGTTTGGTGTTCTGTGTGAAACACATACACAAAAATCAATAAATTTTTAAAAATGAGTTATATTTGAGGAAGAAGCATAAAGGTTTTCTTCACGTTAATTAGCAGATATGAAAAACATTACCATTGAAATCTACCTGATTAATTTATATCCATGCTCAGATGCCAAGGTTCTCAGAAAGTAACTGACTGTGACTAGTAATAATCAGATATATAGAAATTAGAGATTCATGTGCAAACATCTAAGTGTTAGTTACATTAAAAATGACTTTTTCTGTATGAAACTTTATATTTTAAAATGAAATGGAGGTCTTTTTTAAAAGTTAAAACCTTATTCAATTATATGTCTTATAGGGTTTATACTGAGTACAATAATGAATAACTGTATTAATTCAACACTGTGAACCTAAAAATTACAGCCAATTTTGAAAAAAATGTATCTTTGCTCTGGAAACTGTTATTGACTATGTCAATGCTGTTGTAATGAAATGTTTCTACTAATTATGTGGTTATTAAATAAATTGTTAAAAATAAAAAAATTAAAAATTAAAAAAATTTCTGCTCTCAAGTATTTCAGGTGAGATGCTACATCTGCAGTAATTCCTGAAGAATGAGGGTAGAGAGAAACCTGTATTTTCATCTACAGCTACTTACTATTTTAACAATGTATCTTTAACTTATATAAATCTTTTTGAAAGGAGGAAAAATGAAAACAAAAGAAGCTGTTTTGAGCAGGGTCAAAACAAATTGCTAAAGCATGTAATGGCCTAAAAACTATTTAACTTTATGTGTGAGGGTCTCTGAGCCTCTCACAGATTTTCTGGCCTTCAGGCTTTGAAGAAAATAGATTTTTGCCAACTAAATAAAACATATGCTAAACCCTCTATATTTGGAGCTAGCTAGTTTAAGTTAAAATAAGAGTTTTAAAGTCTGTAGATACTAAAATATGTGAGCTCATATTTAAAGAATCTTTTTTCTTTGTATCAGTAATTGTGGAGTGAACTAGCTTGTAAGCTCCACACGAACAGGGTCAATTTTATAAGTTATACAGAGTGTATCCCTGGGTTTTATGAGAACCGAACACAAAACTCAGTTTTTCAGAAAAACAAATAAATGAATATTTTAAAATTCAAGTCAAATAAGTCCTTTTTGGCATATGAAGATTTTGATGGTAAACGTACAGCATTACTTGGAGAAATTCACTTAATGCTCTATTTACCTCAAAGCTAATCTTTAAAATAAGGAATGTAGTTCAGTGGTAGAGGGTTGGCCCAGCAAATGTGAGGCACTATCAAAAGAAAAATGATCTCTTATACTACTTTGTAGATTATAATTCTTTACAATATTGCATCACAGACCTGAGTCTGGATAGATTTTGTTTGACTTTACACTGTTGCCCTCACACGAGATAAGCAGCTGAATTTCTGAGTCTTCATTTCTACATATAAAATGAGGATGAAGAATCATTTCTTCAGAGGAGCAAGACATAAGTTGTATAAAGCCCACAGGTACAACTAAGCAAATGTTGGTTATTTGACTTGCGGTATAGGTAGCCATCAAAATGTCAGAGCAGGAGTAAAACTCTTATATAAGTGGGAATACATTATATTTTGTAGCTTGGTTATTCATATTAAGAATACAGATGCACTCACTTCTGACAAAGCTGGTTGAAAAGAATTTTAGGAGAAAGTGGTCCTTTTTCAGCCTCCTTCATACTGTGAAGAAACAGGAACAAGGCTGAGGTCAGTGGTCCAGGGCTTGAAAGTTCCACCACTAATGGGTCCTTTGAAAAAAGATCAACTGTATGTTCATAAATGCATACATTTTTAAATATTTTAGTTATTATTTTTATTTTATGTGTATGACTGTATTGCCTGCATGTATATAAGTGCACCCATGTCCTGCAATGCTGCAGGTCAGAAGAGGGTGTCAGATTCCCCTGGAATTGTGTTAAGGACTGCTTGTAGCCACCATGTGGGTGTTGGGAATTGAACCCAGGTCCTCTGCAAGAGCAGTCAGTGCTCTTAACCGCTGAGCCATCTCTCCAGCCCCATAAAATACATAATTTTAAAACAAAAAAATTATCAAAGAGCTTTATTTTATTTAAATAAAAATAACTAAAATGCCTTAAGTATTAAGCTTTATTCCTTCATATATAAAATACTTTAAAATAGAAAATAGAATTAAATATCTTGCTTTGAGAAATGTGGTATTTTCAATATCCTCTGCTTTCTACTTCCCAAAACCACTAGTTTGAATGAAATCACTAATTCTCAGTTGATTATACTTGTTTCTTGATGTGCTTTTCTACAGGCAAAATTACTAATCTACTTGGTATTTGTACAGATTCACAAATGATCATAAATTAGAATTACTAGAAGAACTTCACACCTTACTTTTCACAAAACATTTTGCTAATAAAATAGAAATGGTAAATTACATGACAAAATTGGTATCTAAAGCTCAATAAAAGCAGCAATTGTCTAATGGATTAAACCATTTTAGACATTTTTTTTCCCAAGGAAGCTTTGCTTTCTAAAATATGTTATCACCTTTTCTGTCAAAAGCTGCTTTGTGGAAAGAATTATTCAGATTACTACATTGGGTTAAATATTTTTTTTTTAATTTTATGTGGATGAAGTGTATCGCCTGCATGTGTGTAAGTGCACCTATATATCATGCAATGCCCACGGAGGTCAAGAGAAGGCATTAGATCCCCTGGAACTGGAGCCACAGATGTGGGTGCTGGGAATCCAACCCAGGTCCTCTGCAAGAGCAGTCAGTGCTCTTAACCACTGAGCCATCTCTACCTCTGCCTTTTTGCTGGTATGGTGGCACACGTCTTTAATCCTAGCACTAGAGAGGCAGAGGCAGGCAGATCTCTGTCAGATTGAAGCCAGCCTGGTCTACATATAAGTTCCAGACCAGCGGGGACTACCGGGAGACTCTGTCTCAAAAAAAAAAAAAATTAAAAACCAAAAACCAACCAACCAAAAATACCAAAAAACCTCTTCTTTTTAAACTGCTTTCAAAAGTCCTATCATGACCCATACTTTGTCTTCCTCTAACATACTTGTGTGATGCACATATACACACACATAGCAATTTCCTTTTTCTACTTTGTATAATTTTATTTGTGTGGTACTGGGGATTGAACCAAAGGCCTTGAATATGCTAAGTAAGCCCTTTTAAAAGTATTTATTTTGTGACAGTCTTGCTAAGTATTCCAGGCATGCCTTGAACTTGTACCTCAGCCTCCCAGGTACTGGAATCATAGGCATGAGTCACCACGCTATGGCGTTTTTTAAAAGATGGGGGTCTCACCGTGTTGTTTAGGTTACCTTACACTACTGGGATCGGGGCTGAAGAGATGGCTCAGCAGTTAAGAACACTGGTTGTTCTTTCAGAAGACCCAGGTTCGAATCTCAGCACACACATGGCAGCTAACAAATGTCTGCAACTCCAGTCCCAGGGGATCTGACAGCCTCTTCTGACCTCCTCAGGCACTGCACAACACAGGTGCCCTTACCTACATGCAGGCAATACATGCATATACATAAAATAAAAAAGTTGAAAAAAAAAAAAACAACTACTAGGATCAGCAGTCACCTTATTTCAGCCTCCCATCCAAGTGGCTGGGGCTATAGGCATGTGCTACTACTACACTGGCTATTGATTTCTAGTCCTAATGTCAAAAACTTTCAAAGACCATTTGGAACACAGGGACAATTAGTTTACCAACTACTTGTTGGGAAAACCACAAGTATCTCTTTTTCTCAGTCTCTCCTTTTTTTTTTTTTTTTTTTTTTTTTTTTTTTTTGTCTTTTTGAGACAGGGTCTCCCTATAGCCACAGCTGGCCTGGAACTCACTGTGTAGACCAGGTTGGCCTCAAACTCAGAGATTCGCCTGCCTCTGCCTCCCAAGTGCTGGGATTAAAGCTGTGTGCCACCACACCTAGCTTTCTTACGTTTCTTTAAAGAAAACAACAACAAACAAAAATCCCTACCCTTTTAGTCAAAAAAGATCCAGTAACTGGTATGTTTTCCAAGTGATCTGTGTGTGCTCATTCATATAGGTACAAAGATTTGGACTTTGACTGGGTAATTTGACAAAGGATCTAAGGAAGTAGGTATTTGGATATCATTAGCAAACAGGCAATTCTACCACTGAGTATCCCAACAAGTCTAATCTGTAGGGATGGCAGAGGTGGCAATGAGGAATAAGCTAAGCCTGGTAAATGAAGAGCTATCATTCATTCTCATTTTCACCAACGAGAAGCTGTGGGGTTTTCTAAATGGCAGAGTGAACTTGTTTGCTTTGTCCTCATTTTGTCACTATCTCAAACAGCCCTAATCTAAGACTGTCCATCTGTGAGATTACTTGAGTAACATTGCCTGACCGCAGGTGTTAAACCAGTTTTTGAATGTCAGGAGCTGCTAATTTGTTGTTGTTGCTATTGTTGTTTGTTTTCATTCTCATTAGCTTAAAACTCCACCATTAGACTAGGCTTCAAAAGCCTTTTTATGCAGAGACTACAAGATGGCTCAGTAGGTAAAGGTGCTTGCTGCCAAACCTGATGACCTGAGTTCAATCTCCCGGACCTACATGGTACAGGGAGAGAACCAACTCCCACAACTTGTGGTACACACACACACACACACACACACACACACACACACACACAGATACACACAAATGTAATAAAAAATTTAAAACTTTCATAACTTTAAAGCCTAACTTTAAAGAATAAAAACACTAAATTTAAACAAATGCTATCATTAACTACAAAACAAGAGTCCTAGACATTTTGCGCAATAAAAGAGTTGACTTGTTTTTTTCTAGTGTACTTAAAAACTGCCTCAATATTTTTGTGTTTTTTTATTCATGGTATGTCGGAACTACAATGTATCTTAAAGTTATAATGACTGAAAAGTTTTATCTGCTTATTTATTTTTAACAAAATGCTTCTGAACTAATTTTAGAGTCCTTAGATGACCATCCCATTTGCCAAACAGAAAAGAAACATTTTGGCAGTATCAGCACTTATCTGAAAACAGGAGATCATGAGGGTGGTTATACTTCTTACTTACCAGCTGCGAATCTGAAGAAAGAGAAATCTTAAATTTTGTACCATCTTCTTTTATCTCATTCATCAGTTCAGTAAAAATGTAAGTCTGTGCTAAGTTCTAAAAAAAAAAAAAAAATGGTAAATTCTGATTAAGGTATAGTATGCCTCTGATTTGATTCAATGAATATTTTCAGTTTCCAATCTCATCTAGCATAGCAAAAAATGTTAATGTGGTATTTTTTTTAATTTAACTGAATACATTTTACAATTATTAAATGTCACCATTACTGACAAAGCATGTAAAATAAAAGACTTCAAAGAAGCACTGTGTATAAAAGTAAATGTATCTATGACAATAGCCAACAATAGGCCAAAGCAAAGAAAAACAGAAATTTCTAGAGGAACATTTAACAGTCATTTGCCAGTCTATACTACAGGAATGTCTAAGCTCATATAAAGTAACTGAAATAACTGTTTGTAGTTTACAAATCATTCTGATGATTCTTACCTGAATGACTGCATTAAAAAAGCAAGTATTTCCTAAATTTATGATTCCTTTTACAGATGGCACACAGCTGCTTTTCCTTCCATTCTTTATCTCACCTTTTTCATGTTTTTCTTCACAAAGTTTTATGATTCTAGAAAATGCACCTACAAATTGGAGAAAAAAATAACTGATACAAAATTAATTTTTTTCACCTGAAAATTTAAATATATTATTTAAAATTAAACAAGACTGAATCCTTGAATTAGTGTTCCTGAAACAATACAACACAAACATTCTTGGTTTTATATTTTACTTTATTGCAATTAATTTAAATTTATTTTAACAAAGATATTCACCTCACATCTCAATAAAGAACAACTTTGAGTTGAACTTAAAAGTTTAAAGGAAAATAGTTTTTAAAAAGTAGAAAAGACCTTCCTTCTAAATATGATTCCCCACCAAAGAGGAATGAGTGCTCCTTGAAGGAAAAGCTGATTTAAGCTGATTTTAGGGTAGCAAAGAGGTGAAGTGAGTCTATAAAACTTTTGTTGTACCAGAGGATGTATAGAAAGGTAATGGTAGCTGAGACGGAGAGGTTCATGAGGTCCTAACCCTTTCAGAGTATTCATGGGCAGTTAATCAGGAGAGACACAGTCTTCAATGGCATAACCACTGGTAGGGAGTCATGTTCCTATAAGTAATCTCTCACTCAGGATCTTGCAAAAAACATAGTAAGATGTACACACACATAAACACACACACACACACATGCACATACACACGAAAACAGAAAGGGGACTAATTGGGAAGAAGGAGACCAGCAGGAGTGCAAGGAGGGCAAGAGAGGATAATGGGGTGAATATGACAAAACATATTAGATATATGGAAATGTCATAATGGAAACCCATTATAAAAATTTTAAAAAGAATTCAGTATCAGTTAACATCTACAAGATCAGACAGCAAATCTAGTAGAAATGTAGCCCTCTTTTACACTTGACAAAAAAACTCTTAAGATGAAATCAATGTAGAGACCTCCCCAACTTCTGTAAGCAGCATTAGAGAAGGACCAAGACAGATGTGGCCCTGTTTTTTGGAACAGGAAGAGTCAATGTCATAAAAAGCAGCTTCGGTCTCTGGTAGGGGCAGACTGGCACCATACATATCGTGTCAGTTCAAAACGCTTGACTATACACCTGAGACTTTTGAGGAGGAGGGGAAGCACATATACCTGAAGCCCCATTATGTATCAGTGGCGTCAACCTACTTTCTCATAGAATTTTCATAAAGATTAAATGTACTAATAATTGTAAGGCATGTATCATGACAGAGACTATGCAAGTGTTTGAAAAACATAGCTCTAACTCTAAAAAAACTTTCAAAAATGGGCCAGTTGTGGTGGCGCATACCTTTAATCTCAGGCAGAGCAGGCGATTGAATCTCTGAGTTCCAGGCCAGCCTGCTCTACATAGTGAGTTCCAGACCCTATCTCAAAAAGACCAAAAAAACCCAAAAAACTTCAAAAATGTTATTTGTACCAAAATCTATACCTTTATACCTTATGAATCATCTTTCATGTCCTTTATCTACACACACACACTCTCTCAAAGATTTATTTTTATGTGTCTGAGTGTTTGCCTGCATATATGTATGTGCACTGTGTGTATGCTTGGTGCCATGGAGGTCAGAAGGTGCCAGGTCTCCTGGAACTGGAGTAATAGAGGGCTGCCACATGGATGCTGGGAACTGAATATGGCCCTCTGCAAGAGCAGCCAGTGCCTTAACTGCTGAGCCATCTCTCCAGTCCAGCCCACTCTTCTTTTTTTCAGTATGTAGCTCTGGCTGGCTTAAGACACCAGGCTGGCCTCAAACTAACAGAGATCCACTTGCCTGTCTCTCAAGTGCTGTGATTAAAGGTATGTACCACCACACCCAGCTTTTTTTAAAAAATTATTGTTGTCTATTTCCTCTACATGCTAAGGTGCTTTTTCCCATGTGCTTTGCCTTTCATATTGGCTTGTACATATCAAGATTTCTTCCTTCCTTCTCTGCCTTCATTCCTTTCCTCCCTTTCCCTCTCCTTCCTTTTTCCTTTTTAATGTTGGAGATCAAGCCCAGGCCTTCATGACAGGTAACACTATTGAGCTATATCCCAAGTCTAGCTTTTTAAAACACGGAAACATTTTACCTTGTTTAAAAATAAAAAAAATCTGGTAGCTTTTTTTTTTCCCCCCTAAGATGTTTCTTTCATTAAGCAAATCTATTCCATGGAAAAGACTTTTCTTCCAAGTTGTAACAACTTTTTTTTTTTTTGCCATTGAAAATATTTTATTTTTTTTTAATTTTTAATAACTACATGATAAGAAGCATTTCATTACAGCTTTAACAAATTCAGTAACACACTCCAGAGCAAGAGTACATCTCTTTCACAAGTGGCTGTAAGTTTCTAGGTTCACAGTTGAATTAATAGTTATACAATATTGAACTCAGTATAAGCCCTGTAAGACATAAAATTGATGGAGTTTTACTGAGTTCTAACAACTTTTATTTTCTTTTCTGCAATATCTTTTCACAAACTGTTTCTCCCCCTTTACGTATTTGCTTTAAAAAAAATTATGGGTCATGACTGAATATTAGTTGTCTAGATATCGTGGAGTTCTTTTTAACTCCCATTCTCAGAATCCTAATTAGCAACACAAATTTCTTCTCCTGTTTTCCAGATATTAAAATAGGTGGTAAAGGGGCTGGAGAGATGGCTCAGCGGTTAAGAACACTGGCTGTTCTTGCAGAAAACCCGGGTTTGAATCCCAGCACCCACATGGCAGCTAACAACTGTCCGTAATTCCAGTTGCAGGGTATCCGACAGCCTCTTCTGACCTCCGCAGGCATTGCATGACACGGGTGCATTTACCTACATGCAGGCAATACATGAATACACATAAAAAAATAAATAAATAAAATATTAAAAAAATAAGTGGTTAAAAAAAGAAGTCCTACTTAGAAGCAAAGTCAAGTATAATCAATGAAGCAAGTTGATGAAATCAGAGGCCAGGCAGGGAGAAGGGAAAGGGGAAACAGGTCAACAGTATTAGAACCTGTAAATGTATATAAAGGCAAACATGGAAAAGGCAGTCAGTCAACACTACACAGACAAGAGCAAGGCTGCTATGAACCCTGTTGGGTTTGAGGCTAGAGCAATCAGCTTTATGAATGAATATCCGAAATTTCAAGTACAGCCTAGTAATAGGGATGTTGCAGAATCTCATTCTGTCTGTTGCTAACAGATGGCTTCACAGTATTTTTTGTTAAAATGAAAGAGTAATTAAATCCAAGCTTTACAGTGCCAAACAGTTTAAGTGATCTGCTCAAGGTAGTAGTAGTAGTAGTAATAATAAAGACACTAGGGTAAGATTCTTACAAATCTGAGTGTATGCAATCCTGAACAAATGATCCTCTAAAGACTTTCCTCTCCTTAATATCCTTAATAAATGTTTTAATATATAATGTTTAGACAAGGCCTCATGTAGTGTAGACTGGTCTTGAACTTTAGCTGGGAATGACCTTGAACTTGTGATCTTCCTGCTTCCACATACAAAGTGTACAACCACACTTTGTTTTATGTAATGCTGAGGACTAAATCCAGGACCTCATGCATCTTAAGTAAGCACCAACTCTATCAACTGAACTACCTTCCCAGCCCTGTTCTAATATTTGCTAACATTTTACATGAAAATAATGTTTGGAAAAATAAAACCACAAAAAGTAACTATGTAATGCACAGATTTGCTTGGAAAAATAGTTCCAGAAATAAATTATATTTTAATCTTACGAAACAAATAACATTCAAAAATATTAATATACAAATAATTTATGTATCCAGGTGCCACATTTATTCATTGGTTTTCAAAACATCTGGGATGATCTCTCAAAGTAAACAATGTTCATAAGACCATCTGGACAAAACTTCAGGCCAAAAAAAAAAGCAGAAACATATGGAAAACACATTTTCCCCTTCCCTTCAGCAGCAAGAGATGACAAATGTGAAAGCTGGGTATATCCACGCTTCACTGTGCGATGCTTTTCAGTACCACCTGGCTGTCCATGCACAGCCACCAAATATGGACAGCACTGCCAGAAAGAACAAGCCCATAGGGCAACAGCAATAAACACAGTTGATTTCATGGTTAAATGGCCACTTCACACAAGTGGCAAGGGTGTGTTTGTTGACTTTTACATGTCATCTGTGAGGAAATATTCAAAATTAACAATGCTATTAGAGTTCTACGTTAAACAGATCAGATAATTTAACCAGAAAACAGAGTAACATTTTCTAAAAGCTAGTTTTTATTTAAAGAAATAGCACAAGTTTTAGAGTATGTAACAATTTAAATTAAGTTGGCCTATGGTGTGCCAAGTATTGTATGAACCACTATTTTAATAATTTATATTGAATTACTTATGACTAGAATATATGGAGTTAATGCATAAAAAATACAGAGTCTTATATTACAATCACAATACGTCACAGGAGTTTCAGAACCTACATGTATACATTTTATATATCTGTTCACTAAAAAAATCGTCTGCTGAGAGTTAAAATTCCAGTTTAAAACATGGAGGTGCCCGAATTTATTTTTCAGATATTTCACCCCCTCAGCATGTGCATTTTGTGCTCCATCTGGTTTATGCAGTGTTTGAAATTAAACCTGGGGTTTCACTCCCTAGGCAGATGCTAGTAAGCACTCTACGAAATGAGCTACATCTCCAGTCCCTCCTCTTCCTTTATAAAAACACAACCAAATATGCTAAAGACTAAACTTAAGATGTTTTAGAAATATATAATTATAAAAGCAAAGCTGCTTCAATAATAATAAAAAGGATAATGCATTCAAACTTTTTATTACCATTCTTTTTTACACGTCAGTTTTACCAACTATTAAAAACTGACATGGTACCCATTATTAGAAAGAGTAAGCACAAAATTTTAAGATTATTTTATTTTAAAAGGTTTAGCCTATTCTATCTACAATGTCTTATTTTTCTTTACATAATAGAATAATATAGTCCTGGAATGCAAAACACACTGAAAGAAGACTTCAGGCATTCTAGCTTTCTATTTATGTCTGTGATACTGGTATTGAACCTACACTGTATACACCCTGAGT